CTGGACACTTTGTCCTTGCGCTCCCTGTCTCCTCCTCCTCCTCCTCCTCCTCTCTGCCTAGGCCGAGTGCGAGTGATAAATTATTCGTGGGCATGCTCCGAGGGCCCAGGGCTGCTCATTCCTGCACACAGAGGACTAGCATTGATCCGGCCTGTGGTTCAACTTAATTGGAAACCCAGTTACACCAGCTACAGACACACTCCGACACACACTGCACACACACACACGCACGAACATGCACTTGCCATCTAATGTAAAGCCCCGTTAATACACACATACGCAGCATTGTACAGTAATACACCCGTGTATAGGTGCGCAGTTATTACAAATGTCAACATAATTATACAACACACACACACCGACACGCATTCCCCACATGCATTCATGCATTAAAGTGTTGCAGAATTAGCATCTGCCTAAGCATCAGCTACGGTGTGTATTTTTTATGATTCCCAGTACATAATGAAGTAGTATTTTGCCCACACGTGTTTCTTATGAGCCACTGTATACAAATACAAACACTCCAATATTAAAACGTAGAAATTCACCGAAGTGCATGAAGTGACACACAGACAACTAGATGTTTGCAAATCTTTGAACACACACACACACACACACACACACACACACACACACACACACACACACACACACACACACACACACACACACACACACACACACACACACACACACTTTATAGTCACTAAGCCTGCATTCTAAGCAGCACTAAAGAGGAGTAACAGTCCACAGTGGAGCAATAGGCCCAGGGTTATCGATTGGACTGAGACACTGACTATCATACAGCTAATAGATTACATCAGACACATCGGAGCGGCCCAGTCAATGAGGCCTGATCCTATTAACTGGGGATTTGTAAACAGTTGTGTGCTCACTGTGACGGCTGCTGTGCTGCTTTGTGAGCCTTGGCGAGGGTCTGGAGGAGGCTCGTATATCAGTGCACCCGGCCCCAATCTGCTGCCAGCCCCAGCCCAGCCGGGGTCATGGGTGTGCTGGACAACATGCTTTCATTTTATTGTCTTTGGAACAGGGATGTCGTTTTTCTTCTGTATTGGTGTCAATCCTTCAGAGGTTTAATGTTGTAGTGGTATTTCTTGCATGGGTTGAATGTCAGTGGCTGTGTTCCAAATCGTAAACTAAGTAAGTCAATTAGCAATTACAGTATACTATAACCAACAGACTTTTACACTGGAGTAGAGAATAGTTTTGACATGCATGATGACTTCATGGTGTTAGCTTGAGCCAAATCAAAGGAAAGACTTACTCAGGTTTGCAGGCTAAAGTAACGACTGTACAAATGGCAACATGTTGCTGGTTGCTAGCATCAAAAAGGTTATGGCTCAAACTTTAAAACTTATCACATACCAGATGTATAACTATGTAATCTAAGTATTGGAATGACACACATAAAAAGTGCTCACATTTCTAGCGTATTCTTTAAATTAGATAAGGTGGATATGTGTCTAAGGTTTTGTGATGCCCATCTCATCAGAACAAGGAAGAAAATGTTAGGGTGACTTCTCTCGTAAGCTACCATTCCACTGTAGATGATCCTTTAGTTTATCCATCTGGTTATCGTTAATTATTTTTTATTTTATCTAACAGAAATGCATATCCGGCTGTTGGGGATTTTTAGTAACCTCAACTATTATACGTTATTTTTAATCCAGTTTTAGTTAAAAGGCATTGAGAATTTTTTTTTCTTATCAATGTGGTAACATTATTATTACGTAGCTTGAGTCAAATCAAAGGAAAGACTACCTCAGATGTGAAGCCTAAAGTGACTACATATTGCAAAATGTAACTGATCAATGTTATTTTTTATTAAATTAATGGGGTCAGTGGGTGATGAGATCAGATGAAACCCAAATATTGTACTTTCACTGTTAGTAAACGTATGACTTCACATGACATTGCTGACCTTTGAGGGAAAAGGCTATTTTCATTGCACACGTTTTGAAAATAGGAAAAGCATGTTCATTAACAATAATATTAAGAAGGGCTCTCTATTCAAGTGTTTGATGACCATGAGACAGCACGGACAGTTCAACAGCTTTGAAACTGAACAGTGCATGGTCGATAAATGTTTTGGTAAAAAGTGTTCAAATCAATCAAATCAAATCAAGTTTTATTTATATAGCACATTTTTAAACGATTTTTGGTCGAGCCAAAGTGCTGTACATATAATAAAAATACCCTACAGTAAAGACACTTTACAGCAAATACAACAGCACAGTTTGTTCAGAATATCAGTATGAGAAAAAACGACACTCTCTGTCCTTAGACCCTCACATCGTACAAGGAAAAACTTCCAGAGAAAAACCCACATTTCAAAGGGAAAAATGGGAGAAACCTCGGGGAGAGCAACAGAGGAGGGATCCCTCTCCCAGGACGGACAGACGTGCAATAGATGCCGTGTGTAAATCGAAGAGATAATACATTTTACAGCGTAGGTAGACCGAATGTTTGGAAATGCATGTGTCTGTAATAAGAAGATGAATCCACGAAGATGTCAAAAACAATCCTGTGGGAGCCTGTTGGTACATATTTATCTTGCTTTAGGAAATAAATAGTGCTCTGATTTTTGAATTCATGCACATTTTGTCCCTAAAATCGATCAAAATTGGCTTAAAGAAACTTGACTATCAATTTGGCCATACATTTCTTTCAAATTGGTATTTTTGTGAGATATTGAAAAGTTTGTTTGATCATCAGCTGGATTCATATTTTAGCAGAATCATGTTCTTTGCTAACTAGCAGGTCACCAGTGTACAATAAAGCCTTTTATATTCTAAAAATTATGAAAGGTTTATAGGTGTATGAAGGTTTATATTTAAGTGAATCACTGTAGCATGTAGCAACTAATTAGGGGGATAACAGTTAGAAGAAACACAAATTAACCCTGGGAATTGTCTGAAAGGATCCTTTGCTTAGCTTTTATTTGTTCTACATGAGCTGCATATCATATTCCATAAATAGTAGTTTTGTGTTTTCCTGCAGCCAAACACAACCAAGAGGAGGAGAAAACACATGGTCCACTATTGTTACAAAGCGTTAGTGCAGAGGAATAAAGTGCCACCTCCTCACCAGTGAACAGCTCAGTTCATCTAAAGTCCATTACAGCATAAGCAATACTTCAGTTTAGCCAGCACCACGATGGATGCTGGTCGTTGTTTTTTTCTTTAGATTAATTTCGTGGCCTAAACCTATTCACATGTCCCTTCAGGGTCTGTGCAGCAAAGAGGAGTGAAAACACAGAGGCAGAAAGAGAGATAGCGGTAAACTGGGTTCTCAGGCAGCGCTGTGTTTTTAAGAGCAAAACGACTTTTCCAAAATAAATAGATCTGTGTCGCGGACTGCTAGGAGAGAGAAACGCCCTCGGTTCAATAATTAATTCCCGAGTCGAGGGTTTTGGAGAGCCGCTGATTGGGCTGATTCTTTTTTTTTTATTCTGTTATGATACAAAGGAGGCCGTTTGAAGTAATTTGTCCCAGAGAGAGCTGCTTGGAATACCATACATGCTTTGATTTAGCAAAGCAAATTTAATTTTGTTTGCTTTATGCAAACCAGCCAAGGCCGCGGGGGTTTCTCTGATTCCACCAGAGGGGTGATGGTGGTGGTGGTGGTGCTGATGATGGAGGTGGGGGGGTTGCACATAACAGAATCACGCTGCTGCCACTAATATATAATACACACTCATACACACAGCGCATGCAGTGAGCGGCAACAGTTCAAGAGTACAAAGCCTATTCCCCCACACACACACACACACACTACAATCCCTTTGAAATCAAAGCTTAAAATAATTGTTTGTGCGTTGTGTTTTGTTTCACTCTATCCGTCTATTATTAGTGTTACTGGTATTATTCCTATCATGTTGTTTTAGCTGCCTGCTCTCGCTGCTTGCCGGGGTTTTGTTTTATGCCGCTAATGAAAGCTTCTCTCCTCGCTTTTGTTCTGCTTCGGTTTTTTTCCAATACGTGAATGGAATACATCTGTTTATATCTGTGCCTGATATTTCCTGAGACACCCAACAGCACAATAATGAAGAGGCTACTTGTGATTTAGTAGTTTGTGGAGATTTTCTTTACATGTGCAAACCCTTAAAGGTATACCTTAACGAACGTGACCAGACATTCGTGATGTATTGCAGTTATGTCATTAACGATAGAGTCTTTAATTACCTTTCTTCTGTACCATACTGTCCGTGTACAGATGTTACGCAAACAGTGGAGGTATTTCATCTCCGAATGAGAGAAGGCTATTCAGAACAGGTGGCAAAGCGGTTTTCTCATACTCCATTCAACTCATTTAATTTTTTTTAAAGGAACAATAATGAGTGGATAAAGCAGAAAAACCCAATTTCCTTTATGCTTTTTATATCCCGCAAAAGCCCTCGTTGACGGCCCTTTGGTCTTTTGTTATAGAAAACTGAGCTAATATCCTCCAGCTCTCGGCGCAGTTTAAAGGTCTTAATTGGATTCCATTAGTATATTGCTTGACATGACACTTGAGTCCGCTCTATTAGAATTCCCCTGCCTGGGATTAAAAATAATACTTTTTTCTGCATTCCACTCTCTGGGCTCTTTTGTTACATCTCAAATATTCTTTGTTGGATTCACTGTTTTTCAGTGACACCATTATTAAAACCGTGAGCTTGACTTAAACAGGTGCTTTTATGTCTAGAGGACTTGCTGTAAAAAGGCATGGCATTGTCTCATCGCTGCAGTTTATGTATCAATAAACCTTAGAGGTAATACAGTATGAGGATAACTGATAGAATGTGCTGTAAGCCCCATAATAAACTCCTCCATCCTGTTTCTGTACAAGACTAGAACCAAGGTTGGGCTCCTTGCTGCTTTCTTTTCAGAGCATCACGCAGTGTTGAAGTGTTTCCTCTGTGGTTTCACGCGGTGTAGAACAAGGGCCAAAGGAAAGGTGTGTTTGATGATTTCTGTGTTTCATGTCTCCTGCCCCAGTCCTGAGCTGACGTGGAGGGATGTTCAGCATCTGATCGCCAACACAGCACAGATCCCCGACCCCAAAGAACCTGGCTGGAACATCAACGCGGCAGGATACCATGTTCACCATAGGTACTGTGCTACATCACATATTTTTGAACACACATATTGGGTATGATTTTTGGGGTTACTTTCCTAGCATTCAGCCAACCTTCTAATGGCGAATATTCGCTTCGCTCTGATCGCTCTTATCGCATCGCTCTAATCGCTCGAGTTTCACCGCGGCTGTCAGCTGTGTTTACTCGCATCATTCAAACAAGACGCGCTGGCTTGGGGGCTACAACTACAACAAAATGAACATATTTTACCGTGATTTAATTGTAATACACGTTTCAAAATGATGCCGAAGTAAAAACATACTGATGCCGGTTAGTAACAACCATGAATTAATGCTTTGACAAGTCTGCAGACAGACGGCAGGTGAAAAACCTTTTAAAATGCGTCTTTTCTGAATGGAGATCAGATCGATCAGGCTAAGCTAACGTTGTATCTGCTCCGTCCACACTCACAACAACGGCCTACAGACATAAATAAACCAGCGACTGTATTCGCCATGACACAGACAGTCTGTGGTTTGTACTTGTTTAACTTTTGTCTAGTTTCTGAACAGATATGAGGAGCTGTGAGCTCTGTGTGCTAACAGCTAACGGCTGATGTTTTGGTTTTCTGGTTCAACGTCAGTGACGGCAGGCTGAGATCCTCACCGCTGATTGGCTACCGCGAGATCGCGTCATGCGAATTTGACGCTTGAGTTGAAAAAATGTAACGCGAGCGGTTGTCGTGGCCCCCTCCAATCACCTCAATCGCGCCGCAGCATTCGCATCAGCCGCTTCATGCGCGCCGTCCGAGCGAATTCGCGTCTGTCCACATCTCTGCATTGACTTTCCATGTAATCGCGCCGCCCCCAAACATCGCATTGCATCCGGTGTGAATGCAGCATAAGTGAGACTGACATGTAAACTGAACTAATCAATAGACAGATCACTTTTTGTTCTTTAAAAGGAAAGTGATCTACCATGCTAAGCTGAAACCCATGATTAGTCATTGCTATGGCTATCTAAGAGACATTAGACAATCATGGTTGTGCACTTTTTAAGTAATAAATCGATATTTTGGAATTTGCTAACTTTTTGTTGCGTTTTCACAGAGTTACTTAAGATTTAGATGATATAAGTCTTATATCTGAAGAGTAAATATAAGGTTACAGACAGTAACAGTTTAGCTTAGCATAAGTTTTTGAAAAAAGCTGGCCTGACTCTCTCCAAAAACACAATGATTCAACAACCAGCTCCTTTAAAACTCGTAATATCTCATATGTTCAATCCATTCAAACTATTTATTGGCCAGTAGCAGCAACACCTGTATGGTTTCCTGGCAACCACAAAAGACTTAAAGGGCCCATGTCATGCTTTTCCGGTTATTACCCGTCCCCTTGTGTGTTATGAAGGTTTTTATGCATGGAAACGGTGTGCAGAGTCACAAACCCTCAAAGTACACCCTGTAGCGAGTAAAACTCTAACACAGAAAATACCTCCCCAAAACGCCTCGTTGGAGATACGTCATTGTCCATTTGATTCTTCCATTTCGTTCCGGGTACGGCATGATGTCAAGCCGTACCCGGAACGAAATGGACCAATCCGTGGAGCCGTTACGTTACGTCCGCGGAGCCGTTACGTTAAGCCCCCGCTGATTGGTCCAAATTGACCAATCCACGGACTTCCTCACACACACACACACACACACACACACACAGTGCAGGCAGCTCTGCTGATTTCTCCTCCCTGGCTGCAGGCTGATAACAGACAGTTGGGATCGCGGCAAAATTCTCTCTGCAGACCCATTCTCACAGCGTTTATCAACCTTTTTCTTACTCAATATCAAGCCACACTTATTGTTTTTACTCGCTCAGCGCGATTCACAACGTCCCGACCAATCAGAGCATACTGTGCTCACAGGGAGGGGGGGGGGGCTGGAGCTATTGGAGCTACAACGAGCCGTTAAAGGCAGAGAGTGAAATTCAGTGAATACAAGTAGTTTACAGAGATGCTGTATGAGAAACCAATGTGAGTTTGGAAAAATGCACAGTATAAATCTATTCTAGTAGACCTCAACAATGGAATTATGATCAGTGGAAATGGCCATGACATGGGCCCTTTAAAGAAGTCACTGCTCCATGACAAGAAATCGTGTGGCACATGGTAATTTGCCAGGCTAGCTGCTTACCCCTTTTTCTAGTCTCTTTTGCTAAGTTAAACAATCTTCTTGTCTATCTCTTATTACTACTCCTACTCTTAACTCATCTTTAAAGACATTGAGGATCATAAATGTTATATGGAACACTAATATTGATATAAAAACCTTTAAATAGGCTGCATACTAGGTTTACATGCTTTCGAAAAGGCCTTTATTTTCCTCATACTGCCTTTGCTGCAGCACCTTTTTTCATCCTCTGTTGTGATTGGTCAAACGCTTAGCGATGCCCTGTCCCTTAGCATATCATGTGCAAAGGAATCCAATGGCGGCGTGTCGGGCTGGGGGGGGGGGGGGGGGGGGGGGGGGGGGGGGGGAGTGTGTTGGAGAGAAACTCCCTCTGGAGAGAACTTCGGTATGTTAGCCTTTGCAGACCATGAAGGTTTCTAAATTCTCTAATTTCCCCTCCTCGAATCCTCGGTCCTCCGGTAGTGACTCGGAAATGGATTTCAGCGCGCCATGTTGAAGGACATCTCATTTCTCTAAATGCACATCGAGGACCGAGCATCGAGCATCGAGGAGGCTCTCTGGAGGAGCTATAATATAAGAGGATGATTCCTCCGCGGAGGAACAGTGATGTTTAAAAGAGTCAGTGATGTTTCAAAGAGTCGTGACGCACGGCCGGACTGATCTCAGCCAATGACAGCTCTGCATGCATCCCCTGGATATTATTTTATTAACTGCTTGAATCGGACACGATGTTTACAGTGAGAACAGCTGTGAGGTCCGTGCAGAAAGCAGAGCAGTGTGTATACAGTAATATATGTCACTCAGTATAACAGGCCTACATTACTCTCTGTATTTGCTTTAGTTTAGTAGATATCTACAAACAAAGTGCCGATATTTTTCTAAGACCATTTAGTGCTTCACATAATGAAATACACAACGGCTGTAACCTGATTATGCTTTAGGAGCTGTGTGTGTGTGTGTGTGTGTGTGTGTGTGTGTGTGTGTGTGTGTGTGTGTGGTGTGTGTGTGTGTGTGTGTGTGTGTGTGTGTGTGTGTGTGTGTGTGTGTGTGTGTGTGTGTGTGTGTGTGTGTGTGTGTGTGTGTGTGTGTGTGTGTGTGTGTGTGCGTAGATGCGGCAGACATGCTTACTTTTAATAATTGTAAATAACACTTTTGGCCCGTAATTTCATTTCCTCATTGTAGCGACCAGAGGGGGGGATATATCCAGTCTCTGATAGTGTTACGTTATTATGAGAGTGCTCTCATACTTGTTTGAATCTGAAATTGTATATATTTATATAAATATATAGCCTATATATATATATATATGTGTGTGTATGTCCGCATCTGTAGCCTGTTATTGTCTCATTATACCGCACTGTGAATGAATTCAAAGTAAATATATAAGTCGTCATGAACACATCTGTCCATCAGACAGAGGGCTGCAGTGCCTCCTGTCATCATTAATGGACGTCTCTTTAAAATGACCGCTCAGAGGAGAGGAGTTCTCATTTCTCTAAACGTCTGCTGCTTCCCCTCCTCTCTCCTCGGTCCCCCTCCTCGACTCCTCCGCTCGCATCTCCTGTGGGTGGGACTAAGACGCGAGGATAGGAGTCGAGGAGGGGAATAAGAGAAATGAGAAATCTTCCATGTACACACACTAAAACCTATAAAACACACTCTAGGAAAGGGGAAAACACAAAAGGCATAATAGAGTGCCTTTTAATATCTCTTTGTATCTCTTCACTTTTTTTTATAAGATTGAATATTTATAAGCCTCTGAATGCTACATAAACAAACCACTGTACAAAAAACCCCTTCAGATTGTAGATTGTGATCATATTGAACATTTGTTGTGTGTTAGTGACACTGAAGTGCATTTCGGGTGTTTCACAGATGTGTTTTTCGTGTGTTACCTTAGCTGCTTGTCTAAAATAATAGCTGCAACAGTTTTATATATCAAACTGAGGTGTTACTTGTACTAAGTTTATTCCAGTAAACAATCCTCGATGATCACACTGGTCGTGTCATCTTCCACTTGTTTACTGCTATATTTGCCACGTGCACAACTTTAATGTGAACACTCTCCTCGTATAAAGCGCTTCAACCACAAAAAGCATCTGTTTTATGACAGTTGAGACAGGTGATCTTGTCCGGGGAGGAGTGTCATTGTAATCCTCTAATGTTATTATCACACCCACAGCGTGTCTGAGTGTCTGCACCTGCTCTGATTTATACACACAGAGGCTGGAGGAAATGGAGCTTCTCCCTGTGACTGTATGAAGCATGAATCTGTGGAGGGAGGGAGAGTGCGAGTGAGCCCCATGCTCCTCCAGACATCGTATAAACGCTTTTACAATGCTTTTACAATGTCAGCCGGGCGATGACATATCGGTAATCAGTCATAGCGTTTGTGATGTTTTTCCTCTGCTCTCTGTCTCACTCACCTTAACATTTCCTCTCCCCATCCTGGCTCTAACTCACTGTCAACACCCCTTGTTCTGTTCCCTGTTTCAGCCTTTTATTCCCTTCCTGCTTCTCTCCTCCATCCCCTCTATTCGCAGCATGCCGTGTAATAAAATAGATTGTAATTACTGTGTTGCTGAGAGAAGAATGGATTAATTAAAATATAATGATGCCGATCACACCAGCGGGCGTTTGTTGAAATCTGTCCATTTAGGGGCTGCGGCTGAGGACTCGTAATGCCCAGATCATACTGCAGCGGCCACCCTAATTATGAGGAATGGTTTATTGCATGGGCAAGGAAGGATGGACTGGACTAGTGCAATGAGCACAGGGTCACTTAACATCAATGAGGTTGTTACAATGCATTAAAGATTAGATGTGATATCTGTAATGAGAGGATCCATGTT